CCCCCCCCCCCCCCCCCCCCCCACAACACACCGCACTATGCCAAAAAACCGCGCAACAATCCACAGCAACGCACAAAACGTAAACACAGAGCACCACATTAATCCCCCATCCGTGTGCAACGATGGCCTACACCGCAAGAAGAAAGAGAAGCAGTAGCGGTGGCGAGGAGGACGGGCAAGCGAAAGCTAAACGGTGTGGACGTTAGGCCATAGCAGCATGCCCTTCTCACCTTCGCGGCCAAGTCGCGCGCGTTGTGGCCCCGAACGACGCCCAGCACAACACCTCCGCTGTGCGATCGGCAGAGCCCAGCAGCGGCATTTCGGGCGGCGGTTCCCTGTAGGCCGACGCACCTCGCCGCCTCTAGGGCGGTGGCGGGTTCCAACCGGGCCTGCGACGGCCATCGGCGACGTGATACACCGTTGCCCGTCACCGGGACCAGCCGTGTGTTGCGTGGTACGTCATGCGACGAGGAACCAAGCAGCGTGAATCGCCACAAGAGACAAGCGAGAAATATGAACCTCGTCAATAGAGTAGCGACACCGGCAAGAAAATGAAGAAGCACGCGAGCAGCAGCAGTTCCAGCAGAGAACGATGCAACTGACCCCAACAACAAAATACGGTATGAAACAGTATCAACGATGACGACAGCGACGACTAGACACTTGTCACCATCTTGAGCTTTGCCAGCAGACCCTGAGTGCAGGCGACAAGCTCGTCCAGTATCTTCCCAACGGCTGGAAAGCCCTCGGGTCCGACGAGGAAAACCGCACTCTCCTGAAGTGGAAAACGATCAAGTAGGGCGGAGGCGAGGAACCACGACGGAGGTAGAGCAAAGGTGGAGTATTCGCCTGCGAAGGGGTTGGCGGCAGAGAAGGGCAGGGGGTTATTTGGACACAAGCAGCGGAGGCCGCAACCTACGGCGTGTGTGTGGGCTAGGGGTACTATAGCTCTTTCGCCGACCACGTAGCAAAGACACAAAAGCGATCACATGGAGAGCCGGCGTGGTCGTCGTTCTGCCGTGTACAAGCAGGCCCTGAAAGAATTACCTACATGCCAACAAGGTTAACTACATTGGTAGAGGAACATACCGTCTCTGGTATGAGGATGTCCTCCGTGGGCTTATCCGCAAAGGCTGCGATGGTCAGGTCTCGACCATACAAGATTATCTTTCGGTAAGATCGTCGACACAAAAAAGGGAAGGACAGAAAATATGAGGGTGGAGGGAGGGGGGATGGAGGGAGAGAGAAACAGGGAGATAGAAAAAGGACGGAGCAACAGGCACATATCAATATCAGGAAGAGATATCAACAGCAAGACATGATTTTATTAGCCAAAAATGAAGAGAGAAGGTACCAGAGGCCCGCAAATATCAACGGGTATCCTTCTTTCGCTTGTTGAAGGTGAAAAACGAAACGGGAATCATTGGACGCAAACATGGAACCCAGTCGAACCGGCGACACGCTTCCGCGTTGCCGGACTAAACAAACCCCACAGAGAGGACGTTCGTGAGACAACGTCTACGAAATCGCCCTCCTTCCACCCACCGCTCAGTGTGCTTTGCGTACCACAAGCGATCACACGTGGTCCAATGCCAAAGCACAACACGAAAACAAACAGCCCATAGTGTGAACCTTTCACTCGAGATTTTGGTTTGCAAATCGTTGCAGAGGCATTTCCTTCTGTATCGCTTTGCAGAGTGGAGAATCGGGGTAGGGGCCGAAGTTAACACAAAGACTGGATGGCAATCAACAACGACAGTAGGATGACACACACGCCAAGATCGAGTGCCCAGCAACGTGCCGCTTGCACGGCAGCAGGCCGTTCAGCCGCGCGTATCATCGTTGTGCACGCACGCCCTGTACCCTAATCCGCTCCCCACCCAGCAAAGCTACGGTCAAGCATTCTGCATCAGATGGCCAAACGTTTCCTGTTCGGGGGTCGCAAGGGAAGCCGGGTCGCTTAAAAAACATAAAAATGCTCAGTTTGGGTTCAAGCCTCTGGGGCAAGGGCGAAGCCAAGAGACCTAGTCTCACGCATGTGAAGGCTCCAGCCAGTAAAACAACACACACAACCCGCACACTCCATGTCGCCCCAGGCCGAACGCTGAATGTTTGGAGCCGAACGACAACGACGGGACCCCTTCCCATTGGACGGAGAAAAAAAAGAACAGGCGTCTGCGCTCGAGCCCGTGTACCGTACCGTGGGCTGCGGAACTCACGAAAACCCCCGACGAGAGCCTTAGGAACGGTGTACGAGATGACACCGTGGCACCCCGTCCGAGGCGTGGTCCCTCACACAACCATTGAAGTTTCGCGATCCAGGCCCCCCCCCCCGGACGTACATAGTCAAATCCAGAAGGAGCCACGCGCATGCTAAGCGCAGGTCGAGAGCTCACCTTGGAGCCAAGGGCGAAGTCCTTGGAGGAAAAATGTGACGGGCAAGGGCTGCGCTTGAGGAAGAGCCTCTTTGTCTTGAGCTCCACCATCTCGGCCTCGTTGGTGTCGCAGTAGTACCTCAGTAGGTACTGAGAAATCAGCACGGGTAGGTTTAGTACAGTAGAGTATGTTTAGTAGAGTATCGAGAATCTGTACTAACGGTTGAGTAGAGTAGAGTATGAGAGAGGTGAATACTCTACTCACCTGAGTAGAGTACAGGGTTTAGGTACTAAACTCAAAGAGTATGTTTAGTAGAGTATCGAGAATCTGTACTAACGGTTGAGTAGAGTAGAGTATGAGAGAGGTGAATACTCTACTCACCTGAGTAGAGTACAGGGTTTAGGTACTAAACTCAAAGAGTATGTTTAGTAGAGTATGAAGAGCCATACTATAAAGTGAGTATGGGGAGAGTATGAAAAGCCGTGCTATACTCAACAAGATGTTTAGTAGAGTATTGAAGAGCCGTACTTACAAAAGTTCTAGTAGAGTACGAAGAGCCGTACTATTTAAACGCCAAAGTATTCTTAGTAGAGTATGAAGACCTGTACTAAACGTCACAGTATGTTTAGTACAGTATTGAAGAGCTGTACTAAACGCCACAGTATGTTTAGTACAGTATGAAGAGCTGTACTAAACGCCACAGTATGTTTAGTACAGTATGGAGAGCCATACTAAACGCCACAGTACGCTTAGTACAGTACATGTACTGACAATACTGACAGAACAACTACTCCGTACAAGCGTTGATTTGATTGCATGATAAACATAAACATAAACATAAACATAAACATAAACATATTACACCCTCCCCCCCTCGATGCGCCGCCCCCGGTGTTTGCCATCGGGGTTGGGTTTTCGTCGCTTGGCAACGACGTTGTAAAACAAGCCG